TTAAAAAGTTAATAAGTCTAGTTAACTATTATATTTAGGTTTATAAACTAAAAAAAAGAAAGTGCCAGTATCAGCATTAATGCCTCTAAGGTTATGGTGCACCAAAATAAAATTTGTTTCTTTCACTCTCAGTGTTTTTCATGAATTTCTTTACAGAACCATTTTTTTTATTTTCCTTAATATTTTCAGGCAAGTTGGTGTTTCTTCTTATTACATTGACAATCATTTTTACCATCAAAACATCCATATTTTTTGAATGTTTCAAAGGTAATAAGATCTGTCCTGGATTCCAATAACACTATTGGCTTGAAATTTTTATTTTCAAAGTATTTCACTGAGCGTGCTATAAAGGGTTACCTTTATAATTCCTTCAGGATAAATCCATTTCTAAATATAAAGTAATTATATTCATTCCTATATAAATATATTTTTAAAGGCCATTAAATCATCTAATCCATCTTTTTAAATGAATATTAAATTATTTTATTTTACATTTTATAATAAAAATAAATATATTTAATATTAGACCAAAGTAATGAATAAATAAATGTTGAATCTATTAATTTATCTTATGTTTATTCCACAGGATGATCACATTTATATCATATATTTCTGCCAATCATGTACCTCAGGCATAAAACAATGATTGGGAAGACCATGATGACACGCCACTCATTGTGTCTCACAAACCCCCTGGGGGTCCAGGTCCCATTTTGGGGGCCCCTGTAATAAAGCAATAAAACAGTTTGAACTCATCTCCTAAAGCAGCCGCTACAAAAGCTCAGCCAGCCTCTCAGCGCTGCAATTATGCAGCTTTTCACAGAGAAATAATGCAGCTTCTTGAAAACTGCTGAAAGAGAGCAGGTATCCAACAGAAAGCCTTCATCATTAAAATGATTGCATCATCTGTTTTACCTCCTAGATATAAACACTGTAGCTGCAGTAAACAGTTAATCACTCTCTCTATGTGGACTAAGAACCTTTTAGAGCAAAAAAGTTTGACTCTTCATGTTTATGTCCTGATTTCTTCTCTGAACTCGGCTGCAACATGAGTTTAAAGGAAAACAATCAGAATTCAAACTTCTGAAAGTTCTTTAAATCTGAAATTCTTCCATCCTGTTCAATAAATGATCAGTGTTTCTAATTCAGAGTAATTTTCATGTGAATGTGCTTTACTGGAGGCATCCATGTTTGTCAAAGAACACTACTGCCACCTACTGGTTAGTGACGTCACGGTG